CTGCTTCTTGGCAGTGGGTTGGACTGAATGGCCCATGAGGTCTCTTCCAACTCTTTGATTCTATGATGCTATGATTCTAATATTCTATATGGCAATGTAGATGCAGCCTCAGAGGTTTCTTCTTATATTTGCATGACACATTTACATACTGCAGCTGACACACTAACAGAAAGGAGATGGAAAAAGTGGAGACAAAGCAAAGCAACCATAGCAATTATGGACTTTGTTCCATGTGACCTTATTTACATAGCTCCTACACCATCAACACCACTGGACTGGCTACGTTGTCCAAATGTCCGATCACCGTCTCCCAAAGCTCTACTCCTAACTCAAGAATGGGAAATGTAATGTTGGTGGACAGAAAAAGAGTTTTAAAGGTTGGCTTAAAGCCAACTTTAAGAACTGTGGCATAGACACAGAGAACTGGGAAGCCCCGGCCCTCAAGCACCCTGGCTGGAGGTCAGCTGTGACCAGCAGTGTTGCAGAATTCGAAGAGGCATGAATGTAGAGGCATGAAGGGAGAAACGTGCCAAGAGGAAGGTGTGTCAAGCCAACCCTGACCGGGACCATCTTCCACCTGGAAACCAATGTCCTCATTGCAGAAGAACATGCGTATCAAGAATAGGGCTTCATAGCCACCTACGGACCCACCGCTAGGACACTAGAATTGGAGAACAAGGGATCGCCTAAGTAAGTAAGTAAGTAAGTAAGCTTGATTTTGCTCAGGATTTCTTTTTTAAAATGTTGTTAACACAGCTCCTCATCCAGAAAAAGGTGGAATGCAATACTGGACACCATCTGCATTATAGAATAATTGCATTCTGATTCCACCTTCATTACCATGGCTCCACCCTATGGAAATCATCCATAGAATATCTTTAAGCATCTCCATATTTTTGTCCAGTATTTTGTCAGCTCACTACTTCTGAGGATGCTTGCCATAGATGCAGGCGAAACGTCAGGAGAAAATGCCTCTAGAACATGGCCATATAGCCCGAAAAAACCTACAACAACCCAGTATATCCATATAAATAAAAATGTAATGTTCGTAATTCCAATAATTCCAGCCATGAAAGCCTTCAACAATACTTTGTCCAGTATTGTCTTGCAAACTTGCATAGTAACAACATTCAACAATACACATAGCCAACTTAATCCATACATAATAGCAATAAGTGGTACTCATAATCATAACTCTATGCATCTATTACATTCAAAACAAAATGCTTAGAAAAATCATACTTATAATTTCATATCCAGAATATCACAGTCAACATTCAGTGTTGGAAAAGATATGTCTCCTGAAATTATTTTTATAAGGAAATACATTCACTTACGGTGCTGGCCCATGTTCCAATGGTCAATGTAAAGATGTCAGTGAGCTCCCTTGTTTTATAGCCAGAGTGCAATGCGCTCTAAGCCAGCAATTATTCAAGATTTGCCAAAACTGGCTTTCTCATGTGAAACTTTTTTGGTGGCCACCCTGTTATGGGACACTGCCCATGTACACACCTACCCAGGAACGGTCATAGGAAGCTGCACAGTTGAAGAAAGCAGGACAGGAAACAAAAAGGGTCACATAATGGAAGCCATTGGAATCCCCGGTGGTGCAGTGGGTTAAACTGCTGAGCTGCTGAACTTGCTGATCGAGAGATTGCAGGTTCGAATCCCGGGAGCGGTGTGAGCTCCCTCTGTTAGCCCCAGTTTCTGCCAACCTAGCAGTTTGAAAACAGGCAAATGTGAGTAGATCAATAGGTACGGCTCTGGCAGGAAGGTAATGATGCAGTCATGCCGCCACATGACATTGGAGGTGTCTACGGACAACACGGCTTTTCGGCTTAGTAATGGAGATGAGCGTGGTCGGACATGACTGGTCTTAATGTCAGGGGGAAACCTTTACCTTTACCTAATAGAAGCCATTAAATTTAAACATAGCATATATCTACTTCTTTTGATATTAATTATACTTATAATTTCTCCCAAAGAATTATTCTGGTCTGGCAAGAATGGTAAATGGAGGGTCTTGGAGGCTGTGCTTGGTTCTGGCCATGGAGGAAGGGGTGTGTGCTGTTGCTCCACTTTCTCTGCTGAAGAACTTTGTTTGTAAACTTCCTCCTTGATCAAATCACTGGCATTTTTCTGGCATTTTCTCATGGGTGCCTTAAATATCTCCCCACTTAAGTAGTACTTATTTATTTACTCACATGTAGTTTCACATTGAAACTGTTAGGTAGGCAGAAGCTAGGCTAAAGGCCAAGAGCTCACTCTGACCTGAGCTTTGAACTGTCAACCTTTCGTTTGGCAAGATTTAATGCAGCTGGCAGTTAACCTGCTGTGCTAAAGCCCGACCCACATACACAGATACAAAAATCTGTGGGTGCTCAAGTACCATTATATACAGTATTATATATAGTAAAATGGCATAGTGAAATATATAATATATAATAGCAAAATCAAGGTTTGATTTTGAAATTTTAAAAAATATAATTGAATTCATTGATACAGAATCTATGAATATGAAGGGCCAACTGTATTTAAATCTAGGCATCTCTGGAACTTAATGAACAATGATCCCACTGTTGCAATCTTTGGTTACTGCGTAAAGTATCGACACCAGGTAGTTCCTCTTGTTGGTCAAATGAAGAGCCGTTTCGGGTGGCGTTCCTGATGGAAGAGTGGCAGCTGTGGGAAGGTGACAGCAAAGTGATGAATTGCAGCACAAGAAAGCAGAAATTAACAAGGTGTGGTGGACGCGAAGGCCCGGCCTGTCACATGTGATGTTGCACTCTATGCTGTAAGCCTGCCTGGCTGGAAGGCCAGCTAGCTGCAAACTGGCCATTCCCTTGAACCCCATCACACTACTAACACAGATCTAGAACCCTTCTGAAGGGACCACTTGTGGTTATAGGAGTGGCCACCCCATGAAGTCTAGACATAACAAGCATTACAGAGAAATCGATTCTCACAATGACTGAAGGCTATGCCGCCTTTTCTCCCAGTAGCATTTTCTAATTAGTCAATTGCTCTCATTTTCTAGGTTGCCTCAAATCCAGGAGAGGTGGAGGAAGAAGGAAGGCAGTGTGTCTGAGGAAGAGAGAGATAGAGCAAAGGGAGACAATGCTCAGCTCTGTAGTCACTGCCTTGCCCACTCTCCCATCTCATGAATCTCTGGAGCAAGAGAAAACAACTTGTTTTCTGTTGCTCTAGAGCAGGGGTCCTCAAACGTTTTAAACAGAGGGCCAGGTCACAGTCCCTCAAACTGTTGGAGGGCCAGATTATAATGTGAAAAAAAAACATGAATCAATTCCTGTGCACACTGCACATATCTTGTTTGTAGTGCAAAAAGCACTTAAAAACAATACAACAATTAAAACGAAGAAGAATTTTAACAAATATAAACTTATTAGTATTTCAATGGGAAGCGTGGTCCTACTTTTGGCTGATGAGATAGGATTGTTGTTGTTGTTGTTGTTGTTGTTGTTGTGTGCTTTCGAGTCATTTCAGACCCTGAGCAAGGGCCAGGTAAATTACCTTGGAGGGCTGTATCAGGCCCCCGGGCCTTAGTTTGAGGCCCGGGGGCCTCTAGAGCCTAAAGGGTGCACCTACACTGTAGAATTAATTCAGTTTGACCCCAGTTTAACTGCAATAGTTGAATCTTGTAATTTTACAAGGTCTTTAGTTGTCTCTGTCAAATAGGGTTGGTACCTCACCAAACAATAAACTCCCTGACTCCATAGCATTGAGTCATTGCAGTTAAAGTGGTGTCCAACTGCATTAAAACTACAAAACAGTCCCATAGTGAGGACAGCTGTGACAAGATGTCATGGACATTTGCATTCTCTGCAATCCAGATGTTCACAGAATTGGAAGAGACCTCAAGGGCCATCCAGTGGAACCTATGCAGGGATACATAATTAAAACATTCTCAGTAGATGGCCATCCCAACCCCCAGGTTGAGAAACGCTGTTCTAGGGTGATGCATTTTTCCTTGGGTGTCAGGTCATTCTTCGGGTACAGGGAGTGCACAACGCCCTTGTTACACCAGCTCCACTGGCTGCCTATTAGCTTCCAAGCACAATTCAAAGTGCTGGTATAAATCCCTAAACGGCTCTGGCCCACTTTACATGTCCAAGCGTGTCTCTCCCTATGAACCATCAAGGAACTTAATCATCTGGGGAGGCCCTGCTCTCGGTCCCGCCACCATCACAGTTGCGCTTGGTGGGGACGAGAGACAAGACCTTCTCCGTGGTGGTCCCTTGGCTGTAAAACTCCCTCCCTAAAGAGACTAGATCTGTCCCTCCCTCCTGACTTTTTGCAAGACACTTAAGACTTAGCTGTGGGAGCAAGCGTTAACAGAACAGACAGTTATTATTGGCTTAGATGAGATTGTATGGACCACATTTTTTGGACTATTTGGAGCATGTTTTAAACTTGGCAAACTGTTTTTAAATGTATATTTATTATCATTTTATATAATTATGTGTTTTATTGGTGTGTTATCTTGTTGGTAGCCGCCCTGAGTCCCTCTTCGGAGGTCGAGAATGGGACGGGATACAAATGTTCTAAATAAATAAATCATAATACCATGACATAAAAAACTTTACTTTTAAAATATTTATTTATTACCTTTAAATACAAAAAATCAGATTTGCAGTACATTTCCACTGATTATGAAGCAGCAGAGTTGTATCATCACCTGACCCACCCTTGTTGATGATTTCTTGACAGTGGCTGCATTGCTGCCCACTATTGCTACAAAAACTTTGAAACTAAGCAGAGGGGCTGTAAATGTTCCTGACCACCATTAGTCATGTATGCAATCATAAAAGGAAGCTTTCAGTGCACTGTGGATATTCAACCTGAAACCTTCAAGGAAGACAGAAAGATGGCATTTGATTAGTGTTTATCATTATTCCTAGAACAAATAGGAATGTTGTTTAAAAATATGGAAGGTTCACCAAGTATCCAACTCATCTCTTGAAGGGTAGATAGAACGAAAGCTACAATGCTGGCTTACTAGTCCCAAAGTGAATGGCACTTGCTGCTCTGATGGCAGATTTCATGGCGCTGTCAATCCAAGCATGAGGATGAGCTGTATGCTCTCCGGCAAAATGAATCCTCCCTTCATTCTGAGACAAGCTCTTAAAAAGGTGACTGGTCTGGTAGGGAGTGGGAGAGGCAAAAGCCCCCATGGAAAATTTGTCTAGGGCCCATTTCTGAATCACGTGCCTGTTGCAGACAGATTTGAGATAATCTTTGGAGATATTGTGCACTTCTGACAGGTCATCCAACACCACATCTACACACTTTTCATCGCTGAGGGGAAGAAAGAAATTAGCATCCCCGTGCCAGGTGTAAGAAACCAGGAGGACCCCAATGCCACTGGCGAAATCGTGGTTCGGATAGTAGATCAATCGGGATGGATGGTCGGTGGTGGATTTCCCACCTCGAATCCCTTCTCTCTCCCAAAATCTGTCGGTGCACGCCAAGACAACCTTAGTTGAGCTTGCATAATGGAAGGAGCGCAAGGCATGGGCCTTTACATGAGAAAGGGGAGGGTGGAATTTGATGAGCCGGGTGGCTTTGGCTGTAGCTGTGACAAGGACGTAATCGGCAGTCAGCCATGTTAGGGCACTTTTGCCCGGTCTGCGGAAAAGCACCCTGACTTTTTTGCCCGACTGAACAATCTTCTCTACTCTGCTGTTGAGACGGACGGTTCCAGGCATTGCTCGGTAGAAGGCGTTAGGAAGCTGGTCAAATCCACCTGTGATTTCCTCAAAACTAAAGAAGCCAAGAGAAAGGAATAAAGGTAAGATCTCTCATAACACAATGAGTGGATCAACTCATGACAACATTTCTATGTGCAACAAAACCAAAAAGTAATAGCAGAAGAACAGGAAAGGAGATTCTGTGACATAATGTAAAATAAATTACGTATAGTCAGAGGCGGCCCTAGGTAATTTTCAATGGTAAGCAAACAGTATTTTGGTGCGCCCCCCCCAACCAATCATTGATATATATTTTCTGTTCGTCATGGGAGTTCTGTGTGCCATATTTGGTTCAATTCCATCATTGGTGGAGTTCAGAATGCTCTTTGATTTTTAGGTGAACTATACATCCCAGTAACTACAACTCACATATGTCAAGGTCTATTTTCCCTCAAGAGTGCCTCAAGAGCGCCCCTGAGCAAAATCAACTATACTGCAAATGCTTACTTTGCGTAATGGGTTGAGCCACCCCTGCGTATAGTTCACGTTTGATCTGCCTTGCCAGAGAAAGAAAATATGCCACGCAGATGAACAGTTAAGAACTAGTAGTTTACTGTTCATAATTCAGAACAACATATATACAATTATGTGATCAGTTGCATCGACTTGCAATATGTCCTTTTATGAGAGATTTAAAATGGTATTTCTTTGACTATAAATTCCTTCCACAGCGCATGAAGAAAGAGCACACTCCAAACTCTGTCTCTCTCTGCTTCAAACTTCTTCTCTCTCTAAGCACCTCCATAGCTCAAGCCTGAACAAAAATGTAACAATATCCAAAGCCCTAGGCTCAGCTATCCTCCTGGGTATTGCCTGACAAATCAGTTTCATGTATGTATTGTCGAAGGCTTTCATGGCCGGAATCACTGGGTTGTTGTAGGTTTTTTTTATAGGCAGCCAGATTACTAATGGGTGCTGGGTACAGGGAGCACACCACTCCGCTGTTACACCAGCTCCACTGGCTGCCAATTAGCTTCCGAGCACAATTCAAAGTGCTGGTGTTAACCTATAAAGCCCTAAACGACTCCGGCCCGGTTTACCTCTCCGAACGTATTCTCCCCTATGAACCATCAAGATTACTAAGATCGTCTGGAGGGGCCCTGCTCTCGGTCCCACCGGCCTCACAAGCGCGGCTGGTGGGACCGAGGGACAGGGCCTTCTCGGTAGTGGCCCCGCGACTGGAACTCTCTCCTGCCAGAGGTTAGAACCGCCCCAACAATCCTGACATTCAGGAAACAGTTGAAGTCGTGGTTGTGGAGACAGGTTTTCGAGGAATGAGACAATGATCTGGATGAAAGACAGTGTATATTCGATTTTAGTGTGACGACTGACCACTGTAGTTTTAAATATATGTGCTTTTTAAATGTTTTATTGTAATGTGTATTTTGATATTTTACCGATTGTATGTGTTTTTATGGTTGGAAACCGGGCTGAGTCCCTCTTATGAGGTGAGAAGCTCGGTATATAAAACTTTGAAATAAATAATAAATAAATATTTTTTTTCAGGCTATATGGCCATGGTCTAGAGCAGGGGTCCTCAAACTAAGGCCCAAGGGCCGGATACGCCCCTCCAAAGTCATTTACCCGGCCCTTGCTCAGGGTCAACCTAAGTCTGAAATGACTTGAAAACACACAATAACAACAATCCTATCTCATCAGCCAAAAGCAGGCCCACACTTCTCATTGAAATACTAATAAGTTTACATTCGTTAACATTGTTCTTCGTTTTAATTATTGTATTGTTTTAAAGTGTTTTTTTGCACTACAAATAAGATATGTGCAGTGTGCATTGGAATTCATTCATGCTTTTTTCAAATTATAATCCGGCCCTCCAACAGTTTGAAGGACTGTGACCTGGCCCTCTGTTTAAAAAGTTTGAGGACCCCTGGTCTAGAGACATTCCCTCCTGACGTTTCGCCTGCATCTATGGCAAGCATCCTCAGAGGTAGTGAGGTCTGCTGGAACTAGGAAAAAGGGTTTATATATCTATGGAATGACCAGGGTGAGATAAAAGACAAAGGACACCTAGCTCCAGCAGACAAGAGTCCTTTGTCCCACAATGGAACTCACTGCCTCAGAGTGTAGTGGAGGCTCTTCCTTTGGAAGCTTTCAAACAGAGTCATCTGTCTGGGGTGCTTTGGTTGTGGTTTTCTGCATGGCAGAGGGTTGGACTGGAGGGCCTTTGTGTTTTCTTCCAAATCTATGATTCTAGGTATGTCTCAATTCTAACCAGTCATCTCCACATGTTGTGCTAATCCTCCTTTCCCTACATTGTCATCCTGTCCAAGAAAATATCTTCCTCCTCTCCAAAACTGGTTGTGGTCTGGATCCTCATAAGTCAGTACATACAGTAAGCATACTATGAGGATCCTATTATGGGGCAAAAGTATGGATGTTGCTATGACCTGTGGATAAGTCTAGCATTATTCCAGGGAGAAAGGAAAGACCAGAGGGCTAGTTGGTTGCAATCCTCTAGTGTTCTATTATAATGAATGTGTGCACTCAACTCCATCAGTTGCCACCCCCACCTTAGACTAGTATCTTAGTTGCTAATACATGCCAGTGTTAAGCAAAAAATATTGGAAATACAGTAGATTGCCACCAAGAGTCAGCTGGTTACCAACAGATGCATTGGACTTTTTGAGGTGAGTGCTAGACAGTCTGAGAGAGAAATAAAATAATGACCTTGCTATTAAAAAAAGAAACATTTCCCCCAATTCTTGTCAGTCAAGAGATTGCACATGCTTCCCATTTACCTGTCATCATCTGAAAAAATCACATATTCCATGACAGAGTTAAGGAATGAAATGTGGAATCCGGAATCTTCATTCAAAAGATCTCCAATCATATCCACTGCCCCTCGACTCAGATTTCCTTCTTTAATTAAGTATTCCTAATTGCAGGAAAACAAGATTTGGTGACCAAAGTTATATATATGCACAAAAAGTATAGACTTACTACAAAAGAGGCAAAACTTCCTGAGTATACTAAAGGTTACAGTATATTTTATTTTGATGGACAAGCAAATGCTCACTTTCCCTTACCTTGGTGGAGTAAGAGTCATATTTCTCCTTCAAAACTGTGCAATTTTTGGTTACCTGTGCAAAAGGAAAGAAGGCAACTGATAAGGGAAGTGATATACTGTATATGCAATCCCCCCATGAATACATGTAATAATTTATAATAATATTACTTACTTACTTACTTAGGCGATCCCTCGTTGGACGAGTAAGATGGTCTTCCATTATGGGTTTCCTTGTGGGTCCGTATGTGGCTGTGGAGCCCTATTCTTGCTCTGCATCTTCTTCCGCAGTGAGGGCATTGGTTTCCAGGTGGAAGGCGGTCCCGGTCAGAGTTGGCTTGACGCGCCTTCCTCCTGGCACGTTTCTCTCTTTCACCCTCCACTCGTGCCTCCTCAAATTCTGCAGCACTGCTGGTCACAGCTGACCTCCAGCTGGAGCGCTCAAGGGCCAGGGCTTCCCAGTTCTCAGTGTCTATGCCAGAGTTTTTAAGGTTGGCTTTGAGCCCATCTTTAAATCTCTTTTCCTGTCCACCAACATTCCGTTTTCCATTCTTGAGTTCAGAGTAGAGCAACTTTGGGAGATGGTGGTCGGGCATCCAGACAACGTGGCCGGTCCAGGAGTTGATGGTGGAGGACCATCGCTTCAATGCTGGTGGTCTTTGCTTCTTCCAGCACGCTGACATTTGTCTGCTTGTCTTCCCAAGAGATTTGCAGGATTTTCCGGAGGCAGCACTGATGGAATCGTTCCAGTAGTTGCATGTGATGTCTGTAGACAGTCCACATTTCGCAGGCGTATAGCAGGGTTGGGAGGACAATAGTTTTATAAACAAGCACCTTGGTATCCTACGGATGTCCCGGTCCTCAAACACTCTCTGCTTCATTCTGGAAAATGCTGCACTTGCAGAGCTCAGGCGGTGTTGTATTTCGGCGTCGATGTTGACTTTGGTGGAGAGGTGGCTGCCAAGGTAGTGAAAATGGTCCACATTTTCTAATGTTACACCATTAAGCTGTATACTGGCATTGGAGAGGGATTGGCTGGTGACTGCTGGAACAGCACCTTGGTTTTCTCAATGTTCAGTGACAGGCCGAGCTTCTCATATGCTTCTGCGAAGGTGTTTAGAGTGGCTTGTAGATCTTCTTCTGAATGCGCACAGGATGACATTGTCATCAGCATACTGGAGTTCTATAACAGATGTTGTTGTAACCTTGGTTTTGGCTTTCAGTCTGCTGAGGTAATAGCTTGCCATCTGTCCGATAGATGATTTCCACTCCGGTGGGAAGCTTCCCATCAATCAAGGTGAAGTATCATAGCGATGAAGATGGAGAATAGAGTTGGGGCAATAACACATCCCTGTTTGACACCTGATTCCACCTTAAATGGGTCACTTTGGGAGCCACTGCTGTCCAAGACTGTTGCCATCATGTCATCATGGAGGAGCCGCAGGATGTTCACAAATTTGTTTGGGCACCCGATTTTGTGGAGGATGGTCCAGAGAGCGCTGCGATTCACTGTGTCGAATGCCTTTGCAAGGTCGATGAATGCCATGTACAGAGGTTGGTTTTGTTCTCTGCATTTTTCTTGGAGCTGTCGTGCAGTGAAGATCATGTCCACGGTTCCTCTGGAGGGGCGGAAGCCGTTCTGGGATTCTGGGAGGGTGTCTTCTGAGAGGGGCAGAAGGCGGTTTGCAAGGATTCTTGCGAGGATTTTCCCAGCGGAGGTTAGAAGGGAGATACCTCGATAGTTTCCGCAGTCTGTTCTTTCCCCTTTTTGAAGAGGGTGATGATGGTGGCATCCTTGAAATCTGCTGGGATTTTCTCGGTCAACCACACTATTTCTATGAGCTGGTGGAGTTGTTGTGTCAGCTCAGGTCCTCCGTCTTTAAAGATTTCAGCAGGGATCCCATCAGGTCCACTGGCTTTGTTATTCTTCTGTTGGCTGATGGCATTGCTGACTTCTTCCAAACTAGGCAGTGCTGCAAGTTCATCCCTGGTTTGTTGTTGTGGGATTTGTGAGAGGACCTCTTCGGCCACATTGGAGCTGCGGTTCAGGAGGCTTTGGTAGTGTTCTTTCCAACGTAGTGCAATTGACTTTTGGTCCTTCAGGAGTTTGGTTCCATCTGATGAGCGTAGAGGCTGTATGCCATGGTTTCTTGGTCCATAGATGACCTTTGTGGCTTTGAAAAATCCCTGAGCATCATGGGTATCTGCCAGGTGTTGGATTTCTTCAGCGTTCTTTGACCACCAGATGTACTTGAGTTCTCTTGTCCTTCTTTGGACCTCAGCTTTTGCACTGGCGTAGATCATTTTCTTAGCAGCACAGTTGATGTCTCTCTGTCATGTTTGTAAGGCTTTCCTTTTCTTGTCAATTAGCTGTTGGATCTCGTTGACATTTTTGTCAAATGAATCTTGATGTTTCCTGGTTTGATATCCAATAGTTTCTTCGCAGGCTGTGATGATGGAGGTCTTCAGTTTGTTCCAATGTTCCTCAACATTTTCGGGGTGTTACTGTGGGTAGATGGTCCTTGAGTGCTGTTTGGAGATGGGCTCGTCTGGAGGGCTCCTGAAGGGCTTGGGTGTTCATTTTGCGCCTTGTCTTCCTTCCTTGGAGTCTGCGCTTGGGAGCGATCTTGATAGCCATCGAGGATCGAATTAGCCTGTGGTCAGTCCAGCAGTCGTCAGCACCTGTCATGGCTCTTGTGAGGAGCACGTCACGGCGGTCTCTGGCGCGTGTGATTACATAGTCTAAGAGGTGCCAATGCTTTGACCGGGGGTGCTTCCATGATGTCTTGAACTTGTTTTTCTGGCGGAAGAGCGTGTTGGTGATGACAAGGTTGTGCTCCGCACATTTGGTGAGAAGCAGGATGCCATTTGAGTTGCTGTTTCCAACCCCGTCTTTTCCGATGGTCCCTGGCCACAGGTCGAAGTCTCGCCCGACTCTTGCATTGCAGTGTCAGGGGTAAGAGAAGCAGACTATGTTTAGGACACCTTTTTGAACCCCCTCCCCATGTGGGGTGAGCAGAGTGGATCCTCAAAAGTTGTGGATACAGCTGCCGAACTACTTAACTGCCTCGGACCTTGAGGTAGAACGACTGAGTCCGTATCCACCGTCCATGTGCCAGTCTGTGACTACGGGCTTCCAGATTTCACAGTCCTGCCCCCGTCGCCACTCGCTGATTGCCATGGGACTTTGGTTGTTTGTTTTTATTTTCTTTGGAAGACGCCTGTGCGTGGGTTTTTTTAATGTGTGGAGGTCAGTGCACAACTGATCAACACACAGACTTCACAGAGTGAGGTTCCACTGGTGATGTAGTTTAACACAATGACCGTGGCTTCTCAGTCTGTTGCAGCCTTCTTCCGCCTTCGCAGCCGTTGTAACATGTGCCATGTTATCCTCCGCCTGCTCCGCCGTTGAGGTCTTTGGGTCTTCGGACTGTGCTTGGTCTGGAACCCCCCCCCCCCCCCGCAGCCACTCCTGGGAGTGCACGACTCCAGTTGTTGTGCCTACAGGTTCATCGGAACGCGCAAGCCCCCTCACCACGACAAGGTGACAGTCCATATTAAGACTAAGGAAGTGGTCTGCAAAGACTTAGAAATGAATGCAGTCATTGCTAATAGTCAACATGGATTTATGAAAAACAAATCATGCCAGACTAATCTCAAGTTGCTCCTGACACGAAAAAAAGTGCAGCTGGTACATTAGTTTCAGCCCTTAGTGTGCAAAGGTATTTCTTTCCAAGGTATTTATCCAGGTATTTCTTTCCAAGGACGTACCTTATCCAGTGTTCGGGCATAGAGTTCATCAGGGCTCCTTCCCCTCTCACTGGGATCCAGCTGGTATCCAAAAAGGTTGCCATTTGAATGCACAGCTGCCACCTTTTGCCTTTGGTTTCTAACCAAATACCAGGCATCCTCATCCGTCTGGACAAATGGGTTCAACGAGAGGTTGAATTGCTTAAGGTATTCACGAATAATTCTGGGAGGAAAAACCAGAAGAGAGAGAAGGTTTTCTTAAAGCTCAAGACAATGTCACAGGAGAGTTTGTGAAACTTCTGCATCCAGGGATGATGGCGGCATACTGAAGATCAATAAACTATCAGTAAAATTATAAGGACAGATAACACAGGGCAGAAATAAGACTCATGTCAGTACCTATTGTTCTGTCTCTAATGCAATGGGGGCTCTTTGCTCACTGTCCCCTATTTCAGATGCTTATCAATATACTACTTCTAAACACAAAAGGGTAGCATAATAGCAGGTTATGAAGTACAGGCATTTATTGTGCCTGACCCTCTAGTCAACCCTGCGTCAACAGAGGCAGCTGTCTTGATCCCTATCTAAAGAAGCATGTGGTCATTACATAAGTGCAGGGATAGAAAAGATACTCCAAAGGAAGTGATGTGTTTGGTTAGTCATCAATAAACTAGAAAAAAATAATGTATTGTCAAAGGCTTTCACGGCTGGAATCACTGGGTTGTTGCAGGTTTTTCAGACTATATGGCCATGTTCTAGAAGCATTCTCTCCTGATGTTTTGCCTGCATCTATGGCAAGCATCCTCAGAGGATGCTTGCCATAGATGCAGGCAAAACATCAGGTGAGAATGCTTCTAGAACATGGCCATATAGCCCGAAAAACCTACAACAATCTAGAAAAAAATAATTTAATTATGTTTACATTTGAAATGGAGAAAAACTATATTTGATCCTCCACATTTGAAGGCTTGACTTATGCGGATTTGGTTAATCACAAGATTAATATGGTCAACAGAAAAAGACACAGTTAAGGAATGTATGGTGAAGTGGGTGGCAAACATAGGACATACTGTTGGAATGGATGATTGGGAGAAGATCTGGAACTGTAAACTGAAGTATACATACACATATGAAATTAAAAAATTGGCATAAAATGATATACCAATAGTACATCAGCCCTGACAAAATCAGAGTGCTATAAAAACAGGAAAGCAAATTGTTGGTAATGCAAATCAGAAAAAGGTACTTTCTTCCATATGTGGTGGAATTGAAAAAAAAAGCAAAAGGATATCGGAAAGAAATTCATGTAACTACCCAGAAAATCCTACAGGAAAAAATTCAGTTTAAACCAGAATACTTTCTATTGGGCATTATAGATGTAATATCAGAAAGAAGCAAAGATATTCTCTTTAACTGGTTGTGGAAAATATATGCGCGATATTGGAAAGTAAAGGAAATGCCTACAATGGTTGAGAAAAATAGTGGAATTCACGAGTATGGACAAACTAACACAACAATTAACACATTGACAAGGTAACCTTAAAAAGAAAATGGACTGGACTTTATTGAAAAAATATATGAAACAAGAAAAGATGAGAATTTTAACATAAATATCAACAAGGAATAATGAAGAAACCAATTATACTTTGCAATATCTTAAACAATCATATGTGAAAGAAATAAGAACGATAGGCTTGAATTCACCACGAAGAGGCCCCATCCCTCCCCTCCTTTCGTAAAAGCCTGAAGACCTGGTGGTTTAAACAAACCTTTGAGAACGACTAGTTCCAGCTCTGCCCCAGATGCTGTTGAAATTACCCAGGTCCCTTTCTTCTATTAGGCCCTGGAAATGTACAGCCACAGACTCTACCTAATTTCCTGGGCCCTCTAAAATCGCATTAGCCCGGCCCGGCCTTTTAAACTGCCTTGAACAGGATTATTTTAAGTATATGTGCTATTGTGGTTTTTAATGCTTATATTATCTTGTTGACTTTATGTTTATGCTGTTTTCTTTGTATGTATTGATTATGTTACTTGGAAACAGCTCTGAGTCCCCTTGGGGAGATAGAGCGGTATATAAATAAAGCTTTGTTGTTGACTGGCTTGACCTTGAAGGAACCGAGGGTGGCCACGGCTGACTGGGAGCTCTGGCATGGGCTGGTCCATGAGGTCACGAAGTGTCGGAAGCAACTGAACAAATACACAACAGGTTCTATAATGCAATTCTATGGTCAACATCCATCAGAGGACCTAGAGCAGTGGTCCCCAGATGTTTTGGCCTTCAGCTCCCATAAATCCTAACAGGTGGTAAACTGGGTGGGATTTCTGGGAAGGGTAGGCCAAAACACCTGGGAACCCACAGGTTGAGGACCAGTGATCTGGAGATTTATAGAGAGGTGTTCTGTCAAGTAAAAGGAAATAGTAGCTGCTTTTTATTTGCATTTTCCCACTTTCAGGGGGTTCCTAATGAATGTGGAGTGAGACTCTGCAATGTTTACATTTTAATCACCATTCAAGCTTAAATTAAAAGCCTGCATTACCAGATAAAGCTCAAAAATGATGATTGATGGTTTTGCTCAGATCTCCCATCCCATATCCATGTATTGAGCTTGGGAAAGAAAGACATTTTCAAAAACCCTATTTCATAGTCAACCCACTAAAACTCTTACTTTCCGTGTCTCTTGACCCCATAAACTCATATCCTTAACCTTAACTTTAAAGCAGCTATACAAACGCCTGTCTATACATTGGGATTGTAATCAGCACCATGGAAAGTTCCTTTGAAGTTTAGAAGGAAACCGACAGCAAGTGCACTTCTCTGTTGATATGGACGCCACCAGTCAACACTCTCAATAAAATGGTTATTCTTGTTTCTTTAAAAAATACTACCACCCCATTTCAGCTTAATGCATCCTGCACTGAGCTCTTTTTAGCTTACCGGTGTTGCTTGGGCAGGCGCATAGCGCCCAAATCCACATACCAGTCCTTCTCTCGGTAGGTCTTTATCCGGCCCCCAACGCGGTCACTGGCTTCCAGAATATAAACCTAGGAACATAAAAAAAACAACTATGGATTGATTTCAAACCACTTTGCCAGATTGTTCTAGAAGGCTATTTCTGAAGAACACATAACTCTGGATTATACTGATGCACAGCAAACATGACCACGAACCACTAAGGAAAGTATTACAGTTCCAAAATCATAGTTCCTAAACAAAGCTGGTTTTAAGATAAAAGGCTTCAGATTCTACCCAGATAGGCCCCATCTACACATTCATATAAAATTCAGATTGTCTGCTTTGAATTGGATTGTATGGCATTGTAGACTCATATAATCCAGTTCAAAGCAGATAATCTGGATTATCTTCTTTGATAATCTGGATTATATGGCTGTGTAGATCCAGCCTTAGGAAGATGCAACAGCAAAGTCTTTAGAACAGTGGTTCCCAACCTGTTTTTTTTTTGTTTTTTTTGTCCAGGGATCTCTTGTGTCCAATTCTGGGCACCACAATTCAAGAGAGATGTTGACAAGCTGGGATGTGTCCTGAGGAGGGCAACTAAAATGATCAAGGATTTGGAGAACAAGCCCTGTGAGGAGCGGCTTAAGGAGCAGGGCATGTTTAGCCTGAAGAAAAAAAGGCTGAGAGGAGATATGATAGCCATGTATAAATATGTGAGAGGAAGCCACAGGGAGGAGGGAGCAAGCTTGTTTTCTGCTTCCGCGGAACAATGGCTTCAAACTACAAGAGAGGAGATTCCATCTGAACAAGGAAGAACTTCCTGACTGTGAGAGCCGTTCAGCAGTGGAACTCTCTGCCCCGGAGTGTGGTGGAGGCTCCTTCTTTGGAAGCTTTTAGACATGAGGCTGGATGGCCATCTGTCAGGGGTGATTTGAATGCAATATTCCTGCTTCTTGGCAGGGGGTTGGACTGGATGGCCCATGAGGTCTCTTCCAACTCTTATGATTCTATGATTCTAGTGCCGCTTATATAATTTAGCTTCTGTCCCCAATGTACCCACAGTCCAATGTTGCTCCCTCCTCCTTCCTTCCTTCCTATTTTTAAAATAATTTGAATGAGCCCAGGAGCACCTCACAACTACTCAAAGACCTAGCTGCCCCTCATTAAGCATCAAGGTGGAGCTTGCAAAGGAACATACAGGATACCTCCTTCCTCAAGGTCCAAAGAAAGAACATACATAGGCATAAATGCAAAGCATGTGGCCTATAGCAATGGTTATAAATATCAAACATTAGACATTTCTGTTGAATGAAACACACATTTTAGCACACAACATATAACACCTGCATACTTAGTTATACTAGTTTTACAAAGGAGTACATTATTTCTGAATTATGATTACTCTAAGATGAATTCATCATGGGGGTTTTTTGAGGGAAAGGCTTGTTTTGAGGGGGTTCACCATTGCTTTCCTATGAGTCACAGAGAGTGTAACTTGTACAAGGTTACCCAGTGGGTTTCCATGGCCAAGTAGGGATTTGAACCCTGATTTCTAGAGTCCAACCCTCAAAACATTACACCATGCTGGCTCTCATAGTATATTCAACCACAGTTGAAACTTGTTTCTTATGAGGTCTTCATTAGGTGCCGGCATGAAGTGCCAATCTGCATGCCAATCTCTCCATGTCCTGATCATTATAGCATGCTAGGTACTATTCAAGGAAGGCTACTCCTTGCTGCTGGTACCAGTCCCCTGTCCCTCCGCTACCGTGAAAAGATGATTGAGTTTAATTACCAGGTGGCCAGCGTCCTTCAGTAACTTGGCAGCAGTGAGTCCACTTATTCCAGCCCCAACAATCACAACAATCTTTGGATCTGAAGTCTTCTTTAGCCCATTTTTAGCTGTGTTTAGCAGCTCTTCATAGTCAGGGTCGCGGAGGCACCCCACCCATTCTTCTTCGTGGCTCGCATGGTTTATGGAGATGAAGCTTGCCACAAGCAGCAACAAGGGAAGAAAAGCTGGAAGAGAGATAATAAATGACCCTGTCAGGAAAAGAGAAAGGTAAAGTAAAAGTTTTCCCCTGACATTAAGTCCAGTTGTGCCCGACTCTGGGGATTGGTGCTGATCTCCATTTCTAAGCCAAAGAGCGGACGTTGTCCATAGACACCTCCAAGGTCATGCAGTCGGCATGACTACAAGGAGCGCTGATACACACCTCCAAGGTCATGTGGTTGGCATGACTGCATGGAGCGCTGTTACCTTCCCACTGGAGCGGTACCTATTGATCTACTCACATTTGCATGTTTTCGAACTGCTAGGTTGGTAGAAGCTGGGGCTAACAGTGGGAGCTCATGCAGCTCCCCGGATTCGAAACTGTGACCTTTCGGTCAGCAAGTTCAGCAGCTCAACACTTTAACCCATTGCACCAGCAGGGACTCCAGAAAAAGAGAAAGCAAATCAGTAAAACAACTACTAGTAGAATATGCTCTCTATCTTGGCACATTTGACTCTGCAGCATTTCTCTAGAAAATAATTCACTTTGGGTGATCACAAAATAGGTAATGTAATACAATATAATACTAGTAATAATAATGCAATATTATAATTATAATTATATATTTAAATTACATGTAATATTACTAATAATATTACAATAGAATGGTATAGTGCAATATAGTAATATATAATACTATATTGTATTATACTATGTTGTACTATGTTGTTGTTGTTCATTCGTTCAGTCGTCTCCGACTCTTCGGGACCTCGTGGACCAGCCTACACCAGAGCTCCCTGTCGGCAGTTACCACCCCCAGCTCCCTCAAGGTCAGTCCAGTCACTTCAAGGATGCCATCCATCCATCTTGCCCTTGGTCGGCCCCTCTTCCTTTTGCCTTCCACTTTCCCCAGCATAATTGTCTTCTCTATGTTGTACTATGCTAATAATATAATATATTGTATGAAAATATATATTGTAAGCCGCTCTGAGTCTCCTTCGGGGTGAGAAGGCCAGCATATAAATGCTGTAAATAAATAAATAAATAAATAAATAAATAATGCTATAGTGTGCCTTTTCTTTTTAAGCAATAAACAATAACAGTAACACCACGACGCAGAATAACTCTTCCAGGAGTGAATTCCCTTTCCTAAGGCTAGATTTCTTCCTGTTGTCTCACACTTGTTCTTAACTATTAGTAGTTTGTAAGTCAGATGTTTGTAACTCGAGGACTGCCTGTACAGAATATGTGCCATCTTCCAGTTGCCAACTGCTTTCTCATAGAGAACCATGATAACCATGAATACATATCTAAGGGCCCTTCCACACAGCCACATAACTCAGAATATGAAGGCAGAAAATTCCATAATATCTGCTTTGAACTGGATTATTGGAGTCCACACTGCCATATATCCCAGTTCAAATCAGAAAATGTGGAATTTTATTCAGCTGTGTGGAAGGGGCCTAAGGGCCTTCCATACACCCCTATATCCCTGAATATCAAGGCAGAAAATCCCACAATATCTGAGTGTGGACTCTTCCACACAGCTGAATAAAATCCCAGATTATCTACTTTGAACTGGAATAAATGGTAGTGTGAATTCCGATAACCCAGTTCAAAGCAGATATTGTGGGATTTTCTGCCTTGATATCCTGGGTTATATGGCTGTGTGTGAGGGTCCTTAGATAACCCAGTTCAAAGAAGATAATGTGGGATTTTCTGCCTTGATATTTTGGGATATAGGGCTGTGTGAAAGGGCTCTAAGAAACAAGAGCTGAAGCTTCCACAAATCTGGATAATTAAGCTTTTGTGAGAAATATAGAGCTTTAAGCCTTTCCTTCCCGCAATCCCAATCAAGATCAAGGTGCCTTTTAAGACCTGGATAAATGCTCTTATCCACATCCATGGAAGTGAATTTCCCATGCAGGAGACATCACAATGCAGATTAGTATCTAGGAAAGACCACCTTCTTTCCTTCTCCCTTGAGGATTAGGGGTTCACATTAGCAATCTATGGAAGAGAAATCTTGCACTACAGGATCAGCCACATGGTTAATGTCATGTGCTGTTTGGGCCCGTAAAGAAACTGACAAAGAAGTATATCGTAATAATACAATGAAGGCACTGGATCTGTTGGATCCAAACTGGATGTCATCCAAGATCTACCTTCAATACTCCTAGAAGAGAGGCCCCAGTGGTGCAATGGGTTAAACCCTTGTGCTGGCGGGACTGCTGACTGACAGATCAGCAGTTTGAATGCGAGGCAAGCAGGTTGAGCTCCCTTTGTCAGCTCCAGCTCCCCATGTGGACACATGAGAGAAGCCTCTCACAAGGATGGTAAAATATCAAACATCCAGGCATTCCCTGGGCAATGTCCTTGCAGACAGCCAATTCTCTCACACCAGAAGTGACTTGCAGTTTCTCAAGTCACTCCTGGCATGGAAAAAAAAACCTAGAATAAGTCTATATAGTGTTTTTGGATTAAAAAAAATATTCAGTCATATAGGCAGTCAAATAAATTAAAGGCATTTTTATAACAAAAGGCTATAAGAAAGATCATAAGCATCATTCAGTGCCCCCAAAGATACCCTCCTCCTAAGACTGTTCCACTTATAGGACTTACCCATGTTTTGGTGGCCAACGTAAAGATGTGAGAGAGCTCCCTTGCTTTATAGCTAGTGCCCAATTGACTCTGGGCCAATGGGGATTCATAATTGGCCAAACCTAGTTTTTTCTATTGGGACTTTTTCAGTGGCCGCCCTGTCATTGTATAGACATCACACTGAAAAGGTGACAGGAAGCACAATACAACACTGTTGCCCAAAGCAAGATAGGTTACAAAATAACATAAAACCAATACATAAGGAAGTACGTTACATTCCACACTTACCTTCTTTTTACCCATGAAGCAACTTTTAAATTGAACTCAGGGGGAAAGCCCTACCGAATCTGGAAATGGTCAGATCAAACTGATCCCAGGGAGGAAGGTGAAGATATTTCTGATCATCAAATGATCTACATGGCAAATACACATACTAAATATATTTGAAGAGTGTCATGGCACATAAGGATTTCTGTGTTAATAACAGAATCATTTGAGTCCAAATGTGAGAGTTTGTGTGTGTTATGTTTTGAGAGGAAACATAGATATTCATATATGGGCATTACCTACAGTACCGGGGAGCACCCAGTGGTGCAATGGGTTAAACCCTTGTGCCCGCAGGACTGAAGTCTGCCAGGTTGGAGGTTCGAATCCAGGGAGAGCATGGGTGAGCTCCCTCTGTCAGCTCCAACTCCTCATGTGGGGACATGAGAGAAGCTTCCCACAAGGATGGTAAAACAACAAACACACCCAGGCATGCCCTGCTCAACATCCTTGCAGATGGCCAATTCTCTCACACCAGAAGCAACTTGCAGTTTCTCAAGTGGCTCCTGACACGGGGGGAAAAAGTACCTACACACACACATACATGCACTCACATACACACACACATTTCTGGAAAAGGTCACAAGAATCACAGTTTCCCCTAAAACAAAAGCAGAACAGGTTACAAAATGCAGATATGTAAATCACAAAAAAATGACTATTGAAAATATATGGCTTGGAAGAAATTGACAAAATGATGAGTTTGGTTATAGAAAAAAATATTACTTGCTTTTCAGCATGATTGGCAACCATAATTGTATTTTTAGAAACCATTTGGCTATTAGATGTCCATATAAAAGTAGTTTTGCTTACATTGTGTAGGTAAATTTAGGAAGTAGGAAATGGGTTTATTATTACCATCAACCAGGAGGTTGCTAATCATTTCATTTTTCCTCCTCCTGTATATTTGTTTTCTTGCATTTTAGTTTTTAGTGTGTAGTTCAGATTTTATTATGTAGTTTGTGTGAGTGTGTGCACTTTGCCCTATACATAGTTTTCTATTATGAAAACATTTCGTCTGTTTTGTTTAATAAATATTTTTCTACAAAAAAGAGAAAATATGTAATAAAAGCTATTAAATTCAAGTATACACCCATTGCCTTTCTATTATTGTGAAAAAAGCAGAAGATCTACTTTTGAACTAAACCCAAGAAAAAGCCAGCAAAACCAGGTGCAATTTGGATCATGCTTAAGGCGAAAAAGTAAAATTGTTTTGAACTGGATGCTACGGGAACAGGGCTTAAACATACACCAAACACAATTGCCTGAAGGACTAAATGGGAAATAAATGGGTCAGCGAGTACCAAAGAAGCATATTATAGTTATCGCATGATGCAGGCAAACTAGCATTGCAGCAACACTATCACTTTTGCTGACAGTCCCTATCACTCAATTCTGTGTACATCCCACTACCATCCTGCCTCCTATTGTGATTCTCTCGTCCTTAGCTATTGATAGCTAAAACCCATCAATAGTTCCCAATCCCACAATGTTCTTATTGCCTACTATATGTGATGGGTCCTTTTCACTTGAGTCAGCATACCAGCAGTCAAAGGCATCAGGAACATTAGGAAGAACTTCCTGACTGTGAAAGCTGTTCAGCAGTGGAACTCTCTGCCTTGGAGTGTGGTGGAGGCTCCATCTTTGGAGACTTTTGAACAGAGGCTGGGTGGCCATCTCTCAGGGATACTTTGAGTGCGATTTTCCTGCTTCTTGGCAGGGGATTGGACTTGATGGCCCACGTCGAGGTCTCTTCCAACTCTAGGATTCTATGATTCTAGGAGGTGGGATTCTCCTCCACTGTTTTCCTTTTATCTTATAGTTGCTTAGGTAGTGATGCCTGGTTTAGGTCCCTTTTGTAATAATAAATATTAGAAGTAGTCATTGTTTGTTTTGGGTTTTTATTAATGGTCCCATTTGAAAATGTATAATGATGTGGGTGAACTACAACTCCCATCATTCTGGGTCTATTCACCCCAAACACTGCAAGTATTCAAAATTTGCCATGCTGGGCATGCATGCCAAGTTTCATTGAGATCCGTTGGTGTGGAGTCACAGCACTCTCTGGATGCAGGTGAACTTTAAGTCCCCAGATTAAACTGCAAAGTTGGCCATATTGGATCGGCATATCATGTTTGGTCCAGATTAAGTGTTGGTTGGGTTCCTGGTGCTCTTTGAATGTGGATGAATTATTACTCCCAACATTAAGGTCAATTCCACCCAAGCCCCATCAATAGCCATGACAGGTATGCATGCTAAGTTTGTTCCAGATTGTTGGGAATCTATGAGTGGTTAGACATAAAAATAACCCTCCCTTGGGGTGATTTCACCAAAAAGACAGCAGAGTGCTAGAAGCACACGTCACAATCAGCAGAAATGTACGTATGGCAAATTGGGATATGCTTCTGTTGCTTAGGCACAGGATTGAAGAGCCAAAATATAAGTTCAAAATATTTATTGAAGCAAAACAACAACAACAAAACTTTATTTATGTACTGCTCTATCTCCCTGAGAGTACTCAGAGCGGTTTCCAAGTAACAACATCATTACATACAAGGTAAACAACATAAACATAAAATTAACAAGACAGTATAGGCATAAAAATCACATTAGCACATATATATTTAAAATAATCCTACTTGTTCAAGGCAATTTTAAAAGGTCAGGCCGAGGCTAGTGCAATTTGTAGAGAACCCAGGGAATTAAGTGCAATGCTATAGCAGGCAACAACAACAACAGCTACAGTCTATGGCTGTTCTTTTCTGGGGCCTAATAGGAGGAAGTAACCTGGGTAATTGGTAGAAAAAGATATGGCCGTATTCAACAACATCTGGGGCTGAGCTAGAACTAGTCATTCTCAAAGGCTTGTTTAAACCACAGGGTCTTCACACTCTTAGGAAATGAAGTGAGGGATGAAGCCCGTCTTATTTTTTCTAGGAAGGCATTCCAGAGGCAAGGGGGCCACCACCGAGAAGGCCCTCTCTCTTGTCCCCACCAACCGTGCTTGTGACGGTGGTGGGAGCGAAAGGAGGGCCTCCCCAGAAGATCTTAAAGTTCGCGCCAGTTCAGAGAGGGAGATGTGATGGTGAAGATAGGTGGGGCCCGAACCGTAGGGTCATAACCTCCACCTTGAATTTGGCTTGGCAACTTATTGTTCTGGATAGGAAAGTTGTTGGAGCTAACTATCTTTCTAAATCTCATATTCTCATATTCTAATGAAGGCAAAGGTAAAGATATCAGAAAAATATGCATTCAGCTACATCTTGCCTGGAGAATGGCAAGATGCATCTTCACAGGAGGAGACAAAAGGCAGAAGAGAGAAAAAATGGAGGCCGGCCATGTGGTCGAAGCCTACCAGTTGGGTTCATGGTATTCTCTGGATGTGAGTGAACTATTACTCCTGAAATTCAGAGTGAACTCCCACCCAAATCCTCCAGTCTTTTATATTGGTTATGGGGGTTTGTGTGCCAAGTTTGGTCCAGATCCATTGTCAGTGGAGATCACAGGACTCTCTGGAGGTGGGAGCCTATAGGAAATAATCCACAAACATACCACCCCCACATCACTTTAATTATATAGAGAGATTTAATTGTTATATTTGCCTTTTTTGATATTTTCAAAAGCTAGAATTCCATGATTGATAGGCTAAAGCAGAGAGGTAACAGCGTGGACTCTGCAAAATCTGAGCAGGGCTGTGTAGGATAATGTGACTTGGAGGTCCCTCATTCATGGGATCACCAGAAGTTGAAGTCAAAGGCAGTTAACAACAACTACAAATTGGCTACCACATGAAAGAGAACTCAACTTTCCTACAGTTGAGATGAGCAATTTAATGGAGGTCTTTGAAATGCAGACCTAAATTTTGTGCTGTACCTGTAACTGGTTTAGTTATTTTTTACTGTTACAAGATATACATGGCCTCACTGTGTTAGCTATGCTTTGTACCATAGACCAGTCATTCACAAGATTCTCATTAACAGCAATAACTGGAAAGGATCTATTTGAGTTTTATTTGAACAACATGCTTGGAAGGAGTTGCTATAAACAATGAACCACTTTCATGAATCTTGGCTGACTGACCACCGTCTCCCAAAGCAGTTGCTCTACTCCGAACTCAGGAACGGAAAATGGAATGTTGGTAGACAGGAAAAGAGATTTAAAGATGGGCTCAAAGCCAACCTTAAAAACTCTGGCATAGACACTGAGAACTGGGAAGCCCTGGCCCTTGACTGCTCCAGCTGGAGGTCAGCTGCGACCAGCAGTGCTGCAGAATTTGGAGAGTCATGAATGGAGGGTGAAAGGGAGAAGCATGCCAAGAGGAAGGCGCATCAAGCCAACCCCGACTGAGACTGCCTTCCACCTGGAAACCAATGCCCTCACTGCGGAAGAAGATGCAGAGCAAGAATAGGGCTCCACAGCCACATATGGACCCACAAGAATATTGGAAGACAATCATCCTCAGAAAACGAGGGATCGCCTAAGTAGTAAGTAGTAGGTTAGGTGCCATTTGGCATTTGCATGAGATAGCAAAACATCTCAGGTTGGTAGTAGTGGCATAGGAGTAGGAAGAGACTGGTTAACTCTTCTGATGAATAATGGGGCTCCAGATTTCCTCCGATAAGTCTTAGCAATATTTGCATGTACAGTTACTGTAACTGAGGGAGCAGAGGAGGAAAAACAGAACATTCCCAGCCACCTATTACTTCAGGGAAATAAAAAGGGGATTTCCCTGTAATAGAATCACTTTTTGCCCAGAGAAAATGGGATCTGTCCAGCAAGTTCCA